TCAACCGAATATTTTAATTGAAACAACTAACAATCGTCTGGGTTTTGAATAATAATGCCCGTCCACATGCTTGGGCCATTTGGTCCTGAAGCAGGCAGCCTTGTCCGTAAGAACAGATTGTTCTTTAGTACATCCCCTGGTCCCCCCGGGCCCAATTAAATTGACCTTCAATAAACCCGTAACAAAGACAGGTCTCCAATAAAACTGTTGAATCACATTACAACCACAACAATCCACGCGCCATGAATTTTACTACAACATTTCTTCTTTGTCCCAAAAAGTAATGAATATATTTCTCTCATCTCCTTCAGATCCGTCCGTCTTTATTAAAAAAAGTGTCATTGTCTCGTGTCTTGTCTTTATCTTACGGGTACACGCTCCTTTGCACGTGTGTCAAGCACGCGGAGATACGTCTTTTGATCATGGACTGGGAGGGAAGACTGATACGGCTACTATTGAGAAGGGACAGAAAGTATATATGAGCAGTAGTTTTTTAGTTGTAGCACGTGTCCATTCAAGACAGATTTCAAATCTTTAATATTTGACTGAGATGCTTGTCGTGAAGCAGATTTCTCAATATTCATTCGACGATTGTACTAATACCATAGATACATTTTTTTATCCTTTCAATTCATCCCAGGTTTTACGGAGTTATAATGATTTATATCTTATTAAATTTCCCTCGTTAATCCGAATATATGTTGATGGCAGGGTGTTAACGGGATATGGAATCTGATTAGTCAGGTAAATCTCGCGTGATCGCGGGGATAACCGCGTGCTTTTACAAAGTTCATACCACTTACAAATACACGTGACTTTTAATAATTTTTGGTGATGTGTTGTAAGGAGACTTGAACCTGGGGTAACGATAATGACAACTTAACTGTCTAAAATCAATCAAGCGAGTAATTAATTTACTGTCGGGTTCATTAATGTGAAATAAACAAAACGTCTACACATTCAGCCAATTTATCGATTATCAATCAATCGATGCGTGTTCATTTCAGACATAATTTCTGTTCTTATTTAATCATTCATTCATTTATTTACATTAATTGTTAAGAATCTGTGATCTGGCATCAAGTTTATTTCTTTAATCAGTGTTAACAAACGGCTACAGCAACACTACTCCGTGCGCAAAAACGTAACAGCGTCATGATATCTTACACTTGAAGCGATTTGTTGCCCGTATTCTGAATTCTGGCGAAAGAAGTTTTACATACTTCTAGTATGGTACCTCTTTATATACCGATTTCTGTCGTCGTGTTTAACGATTTTATTTTTTGAACATTAAGAGCAAATACCAAGGAAAATTATCTGTATATCCTGCTGGGTCAGAAAGCTGATTAAGAAAAATGATAGTTATCTGAGTTATGGCAGCCCACAGCTCCTTAAAGCCACACTTTCCAGAGACCGACATATAAGTAGGTCGGATCTTGAATCTCCGTATGTTAATCTATGAAGTGTGCCAACGGATCAGTTCTGAGTGTCGTAACTAAATAAGGATATTTATCGCCAAATGACCGTGACATTTGTCCTGAACCTTTCAAAAACAGACCTCAGTTCCCACTTCATTTATAAACAAACGTAGAGTCTGTTGATAGATTGGACAGTTCACTGAGCACGTTAGCGTATGGACTTTTTCATATGGGCGACGGAAATTAAATTTACATCGAAGTACCTTATCTCCACCTAAAATGGACTCGCTACTTCCTACATTCACCACTTGGGGTCAGCACTATTTGGCATATGCCACGCGCAGCCGACCCTTGGTTACGGCCTTATGTACTAGAAGTCGACCATGGATGACAGCAAACCGGAAGTACGAGACAGGAAGTTAGTTATGACCTAAGCGACCGCACAGGAGTTACAGAGGCCCGAAATAATGGCCATATGTTTGTTAGTTAACGGCGCTTATTCCAAGTGTGTTTTATGTGCAGAGTACTAACGGCAATTTGGTTAAGAGGTGGGAGGTTTTTTACAAAACAAAGTACTGTAGAAAAAAATACATCCAGGTCGTCTCGCCTTAAACACATCGTAACCGGAGACGGCAGAAATGAAAATTTTCATATCAGAATGTTGGATCAGCAACAAAGACAGATCTGAAAGCAGAGTGGTTAAAAGGCAAGAATAAAAAGACAGTCGTGTTCTATTGGAACTAGAATATGTTTATCATCAAGAATTTTTTACTCCGATGGATCCAACACCACGATAAAATAAAACAAAAATTGTTTATCTGCGTGTATATTGAATATGATGAGTCTAGATAAATGGTACTTTTAAATAGATATATGGACACCAATCTCTAACATGCTGTGGACCGTTTGTTTAACAACATGCGAACATGCTTTCAGGAACTAAAAGAATGTCTTATTTGATATGGCTAATGTAAATCGCGATGACTTTCCATTTGATACAAATCGCAAAGACTGTCTGTCATGTTTCTGCTCAGTCTGCCATCTTAATCCGTGTTCCAACTCCTGAACGGCACTGGTACTTTCTACATCAAATTTACGATCTGTTTATCAATAGAGAACATCCGGATGTATAAGTTCTAAATATCACATGTATATTGTGGACACAATTCCATAAAGATGTGGTCATCCGTCCACTTTACGATTGTTATTGTTTCAATCGTGGACACGTCCCGTAAATGTGTTTCTCATATAGCGCGATACGAAACCTGATAGGGGACGCTTAAGTGAGTTATGTCCCCTTTATGAGATCCATGTGACAGTCCGGCCCCTTCACTGCGTGACGTCTGCTGCATGCTATTAAGGGGTTATATCAGGTTCGATAACAAACATGTTTTTTCCTGGATGTTTTGAATTGTTTTCTGTTAGAGTGTTACCTACATATTTACTGTCACGTCTATGGTCAATAGGAATCCATCTTTCCATGTAAGAATATACTATGTCGAAAGCGCATGCTCACACGTGCGTCACACGTGGTACATACAACCCATTTAAGTGAAAGGTTATAAATGTTTTGGATTTTTTTACGGATTTAAACGAACAGAATGTGGCTGTAATATTAAGTTTGACATAGTACTATAAGAACCACTTTCCACCATATGTTTCTGAAGCCATAGATACGAGGCCAACACGGAACCCTGAAGGTCATGTTTCCTGACTTTTTACACTGAATTAAGAGCTTAAGAGAAATAGTTCTTAGTTCACTGGAATAACCATGAGCTAATATTATTTCTCCGTTGTCCTTAAGGACCATAATTATCCCACACCCGTGTCTACATCCCTCCCATTAAGCCTGTACAATCGTTAAAGGTTTTCAATTGACGTTAAAGAAATTTTGTGCTACTTTCCTTTTCAAATTTACTAGATTTTTACTTAGGCTTATAAGTCCATAAGTATTGTTTAAATTGCATGCTTCGTAAGAGGTGACTAAATTTGGGAACACGTCTTTTCTTTCGAAACGGAGATATTCCCCGTTAACATCTCCTCTAACACTGTCACATTTTTGGCCTTTAGATAGGCTCCTGTGAGAAAGGGTTCTGTGTTATGGTCGAAAGGTACAATACTTCCTGCTTAACACTCGGAATTATGATCGTATAATAACAAATTTGTGCGCTACCCGATGTTGTGCGCTGCTCTATGTCTTTGGCAGTATGTTTCAGCGTGCTAACACTATGAAGTCGACGTCATTCCAAAGAAACTTACACGACAATATTGCAGATAAAAATACCCACACGTAATCAAGACATGCATATATTTCGCATGCATATGAAAATCGTCCTTGGATGACCAAATACCTTTATAGAACATTAAGCAAAAGAGTATCAAATCAAACGATGTAAGTATGAAAAAACAGTTTGCAATGGCTGTTGCCGGTGAGCTTGGCTATCATTGATCGTACTTGTTTGATTTACAGTTTTCATACGGATATCGTTCTTTATTTACTGTTTTTTCAGGAACATGGTAAACAATTATTTTGGAAGAAATTAAACAGATGAAAGAAAGAGAAAATATCATTACCATTAAAATAAAGAAGTTTTGAAAATAATTTAACACTAAAATTTATGATTGTTAAAGCGCCTGATGTCGCGGCTTTACTGCATTTACTTCGATTTTTTTTATACACAAATGATTTATTTATCTTTTTAAACACTGCTTATAGTAGGGACGTGACGTCACCTTGAGGTAGGACAGCTGTGTTGTTGTCAACGAAATCGATGACAAGAGATGTACTTTGCGCTCCAGGGAGAGATTAGCGTATATATATGTTTTTTTATTGTTAGTTTATAAATATCGATTATGCCAGTGGTGACATACTTAATATCCTGCTGTAATCAATAGGTGTACAAGGGAAAAAAATACGTTGACACGCAGAGCAGACATAAAATGCTTTTTGTTTTTAATTGAAATAATCGATATTCTCAAAATGACACCAGAAAAATTGTTGTCAAAATCGTGACTGTAATAATACTTTTTGACATTTTTCTGGATTTTTCTGGAAGGTATGAAATGCAATATAAGCAATATGAGACGCATCACCTGTTAAATTTCCCAGGTAACAATAGCTTCCGCACGGCTATCAACACCACGTACTTCGTCAGTTCTATGTTTAGAACCTCTTGCTGATGTAACGCTCAGTATCCTATATATAACTAGTTTATACACTAAGACAGGTATTAGGATGCACGTTCTTTTCACGTCTAGGATATCATTGACCGGTAAGTAAACTTCAAATATGTGATTTTGGAAACGTTTATAATATTCACGCCATCTGCATCCCAAAGGTTATGGATAGTGTCCGGGATTCATCATTGTTTTGATTTGAAATGTGCTAAGATAATACGACTGCGCAGTTTGTACAACCCATGGCGACTGAATTCAATACATTGAACAGGGATGTATCGTTTTAAAGTAAGTGTTCTGATTATATGGATGTCATTTGGCATTCTGTGCTGAGCTAGGCATTACCTGTGTTATGGTTTGATTACTTCGTCAGTAGCTATACGTATCTCAGTATATTGTTGTTTTTTAAGTGTGTTTTCTGCGTTTGGTTTGTGAGACAGTGTCTCTGTTGTTTTGTGGGGAAGCGTCCTTTTCGTTGTTTGTTGAGGAAGTGTCTTTGTCGTTATTTGATGAGGAAGTGGCCTTGTCGTTATTTGGTGAGGAAGTGTCTTTGTCGTTATTTGGCGAGTAAGTGGCCTTGTCGTTGTTTGGCGAGGAAGTGTCTTTGTCGTTGTTTGTTGCGGAAGTGTCCTTGTCGTTGTTTGGTGAGGAAGTGTCCTTGTCGTTGTTTGGTGAGGAAGTGGCCTTGTCGTTGTTTGGTGAGGAAGTGTCGTTGTTTGGTGAGGAAGTGGCCTTGTCGTTGTTTGGTGAGGAAGTGTCTTTGTCGTTGTTTGGTGAGTAAGTGTCCTTGTCGTTGTTTGGTGAGGAAGTGTCCTTGTCGTTGTTTGGTGAGGCAGTGGCCTTTTCGTTATTTGGTGAGGAAGTGACCTTGTCGTTGTCTGGTGTGACAGTGTCCTTGTATGCTTTGTGAGGCAGTGTCCTAGTCGTAGTTCGGTGACACAGTGTCTTTGTCGTTATTATTTGTGTTTGGTTGGTGAGGACCTGTCCTTTAGCGATGTTTGTTGAGGCAGTGGCCTTGTTGTTTGGAGAAGCAATTTCTTTGCAGTTTGTTAAAAACAGTATCCTTTTTTGGCGGATCCCTTTTCATTGTTTGGTTGACGAGACACTTTTCTAGTCGTTATTTATTTTGTTAAAAACAGTATCCTTTTTTGGCGGATCCCTTTTCATTGTTTGGTTGACGAGACACTTTTCTAGTCGTTATTTATTCTGTGTTTGGTTTGTGAGGTGATGTACTTTTCATAGTTGAATGTTGCTTTCTGTGTTTGGTTGGTGAGGCAATGCCCTTGGCGTTGTTTAGTTGAACGTGGTTTCTGTGTTTGGTTGACGAGACAATGCCCTTGGCGTTGTTTAGTTGAACGTGGTTTCTGTGTTTGGTTGGTGAAACGTTCCCTTGTTGTTTCGTTGTATGTTGTTGTCATAGTTGTTCCTTAGTTTATGACGCAGTTACAAACGTGTTGTGACGCATTCAGCGTACTTTGTCAATCGATCTAACTCGATCTATATAGAACTCCTACAAATCAAATATGGTAAGTTGATTGTTGTGCTTGATTCTATACCAACTTGATTAGAAACGTATGTACAATTTTTATACGACAACACATTAAGCAGGCCAAACTTGTTTAGAACATCCCTTTATCACACACGAAGTGCTTCAAGGGGACAAATCACTGATACATTATTACCGGGCCATTGTAGTATGGCTCCTTCCAATATTTAAAGGAACGCAAGTTTTTCAGGGGTTTTTAATGGGGGTTTGTAAAGAAGTTATTTTCTCCAGCAAAACTAACTGTCTGTTCTGTTAAAATGCGTTCTTTAAGTAGTGGACAACATGTTTCACTGCGAGTGTTATGACCATGGGCACATAGCCTAAATATGGTACACAACAAACTGTCCTTCGTTTACTCATTATTGAAACCATTATCAATACAGAATAAGAAAAATTTACCCCGGAAATTAAAAGGACCTTGACGTTGGGTAAAGGGGCCCGAAAGTGGTTTATTACACACTGCTATACCATTTGTCTATAAGAAAATGACCGGCTTACTCTTATTAAGTCACTGACAGAATAATTAACTCGACATTAAATCTCGATATAACCTTGACCTTGGGAATGCATTATTCATTAATTTTTTTTTTTAAGTTCCGATTTCTACAATAATCAATCATATCTGCATGCATGTTGTTATCAGTGAGACTGGTGTATAGAAATACGTATATTGAATTAATTTACACATACCTACTGTAACTGGTAGTGTTTTTTTTTAAATCAAGCTCGCCCAATACCTTATTTGGCGAATACTAAACAAGTGCGCCTAGAAACAAACCCCTCTGTTCATGATGTCAACCGTTTCCCAGGTAACAAAGAGAGTTTTCATTAAGCAGATTGCATGTTAAAACTAACATTGATTTGTAACGGTGAAGACGATGCCCCGGGCAGTGCACGTGTGCGTTCGTGCTAAAATTCATAGACCATAACATTAACCAATGCCCTTCATAAAGAATAGCCGTTCCAATTTGCCGTAATTAATTGTGTTCGGTTCCTGATCAGTATCGCTAGGTCATGATCAGTTCAGCGTTTGAAACATAAACACATTACCAGGGATTTGAATGACACCGATCACAATGGCCGAAGCATCCCTCCATATCTTGTCAATGAAATGTATTATTACATATTATTATATCTGCTTTGTCAAATTTTACAGCCAATAGAAGAGTACTTCTGAGTGATGGACTCTCCTGTGATATGAACTTTCTTTGTTGTTCCTCGCGATGTAATTATAGTTTCCAGAATCTTAAAGGAACGCTTCGTTTTATAGGCCAACCGTAAAACTAGTCGAACTTAATAGAATAGAGTACGTCATCACACTGTAATACGCTTTTTCTCAAGTTGGAGGAGGGTCAGGAATTTGGGCAGAAAGCGCACGTGATGACGGGTATTGAGTTTAGGAAAATTCACTTTAATGAAAAAAACGGACGATACGAGGGTGTTTTGAACATTTTGTCACACGATGTAACACCAACACCTTCACGTTGTGTATGGACACAAAATGCACTATACGTCTCTGGTTCTATCTACTGGTTCTATCGCTGTAGTTAATGATCATACAACGATCATTTTTAATCACCTAACTTCTAAGTTGTCTTCTATCATTATTTGTATTCAATGTTTTTATCATCTGGTGTGTTTTCATCGTTCTAAGTCTGGTTTCAAACACACACACATATATATATGTATAGCAGCATGCTTTTGCTTCTCAGTGTCCGGTACATAAATAGAAAAAAATATTGAAATTAGAAACCATTCTGATTAATGGAGCTTATGTTTTACTAATCAGAAATGTTTCTAATTTTATTATTTTTTCTGTGTTATATATATATCGGCAAAATCCATGTAAAAAAACGAGGACATATAAACAAACACATCTCCTGCACGTGTTATATTTAGAACCGTGAGAATTTAGGGCTTCTACGGAAAAAGTGCCAAAAAATGAGGTAATGAGACTGTGCTTTAATTAGGAGAGTTCCTTTGGACTGTGGAGTGATCTTATACGTATGCGCGCATATTGCGGCTGCATGTCCCTTTGTCGTACGATCTCGTCCCTAACTTTCGTGAGTCGCGTCTAATTTTAGTGGAGGAAATGGGGAGGTTTGATGTTGCCTGTGTTGCTTGCATCCCTATACATTTATAATACCGCCGAGAAAAAACGCAAGCCAGATGCTGTGTGATCGAGTTCACCCCGTACCGGCCAGGGAGCTACGCTTCGTTGCTGTGCGAATGTGCATGCATTCACAACCCTCCCGAGAAGAGGGGCCGCTATTAAAAATGACCCACCGGGACTTAGGGTTGAATGTTAGGCGGTGCCGATCTCACCACGAAGAGGTCGGGCCCTTTTACACGCGAGCAGCGGCACGCGCGCACATCGTTTGTAAGCCATCAAACAAACCTCCACATGGACGCATCAAAAAACCTTGAGCACCCCTATATATTTGTCTCCGTAGTGAACGTGCTGCTAACTTACTAATTACAGAAACGGCTTACAGTTTAAATCACAAACACACACACTTACAAGTCATGATACTATCTTATGCTAGTAAAGTTCACACCAATTTACAGCTCTAACAAATTAAGTAAGAAATAATAGCGTCAGACGGACAGGTGTGCCCTATCTTGATCCCGGCAGGTTTTTGCGCCCTATCTCCAAGTGTAAGTAATTCAACATTACGTTATAATTTGTACCTCAAATGTGCATCATTACCACGCTGGAAGGCCAGACTTAATGGCAATCTTTACAAAATGTCGTAACAGCGCACGGTGGTACATGGTTGTCGGTCTTGTCGCTTTGTCTTCAAAAATTGTTTTGATGAGCGCAACCGATGGATTGGGTTCGGTGATTAAACATTTGTTTGAATATGACACGAGCCAATTACGTTAGACGAACAGTGATCGATGTGACACGTTTATGGTCAATCGAACACGCCTCTTCCTCGTCATCGTATGGTCATTACACCACTTTAATTGTCCATTAAGTTGATTTTGAACTTGTATTCAACTAATAGCGAGACAACCTGATTAGTGACCAGTATGACGTCGTTAATTGGAAAGCGCGTGAAGTTGGCATCGCTCACTGGGATCCAGCGTCTGGCTCTAAGGTGTCAGTTCGGGGGAAAGGGGAGACGGATATATGAGTGACTGAGAAAGTGTTCTAAACAGGATCTGAGGACCAGCCCAACCTAACTCGCCTGACAGAAAAAAAAAACCCAAAACATGTCGACAAGTGTGCACCGTCTGGAGGCATCTAGATTTACACGTAACGTTCATAGACACATTGCTATGGTTTTTAAAGCTCTGAAATTTCAATTAAGTCGAAGGCTAATTAACTTCATTCTTCAATTTTCTCTAACGGGTCCCTTGGATGTTTTTCACGTTTCACAAATGGGTTTGGTTGGCTAAGAACACGACTAGTTCGCCATATGTACCAAATAAAGGGCTGCGACATATGGTAAGGATATTTATCCTTGGTTGGATTGTTTACGCTAATCTAGACAAGACCTTAAAGGGGTGGGAGAAGCTGGGAGGGGGCATCTCTTTTTATTGTCAAGGAGACGAATTAAACTAGATCCGTCAGTAGAGTCGGTGTATGGCACTAAACACATCAAAACAACCCAGCGTTGTAGCGGCGCTGCTAACATCAACAGTTCTGAAGATTTGTTGTCAATTTGCTTTCCAAACCGTCTGTAAAATTTCAATTTTATCTGTGACGAGAAAATTAAATATGACTGATTTATGATTTAGATCGGCATTGTGAAATACAGGGCTTACATACGTACAGAAACAAACAACATAAAAATGGCTTATTTTCTCGTTCATTGTTTCCGAAAATAGATGTGATTCTTCACACATCAAAGCAAACCATGATTATTTTTCCTTTGCCTTCTCTTTGCCAATGACATTCAGTTGTGTAATTTACTTGTTTTCTTAAACCTACTTGGTATGTGCGCTACCCCGTTTGTTGGGACATTTTGGTTTCTGTTTCCAAAACGTCAAGTAAATTAAATTAGTTGGAAAAGTTTGGTCTGTATAAGTCATAACATGCGTAAACCCTAAGATACATTTTGGATATGTAAAATGTAATCAAATCTAATTTCATAATTATTTCAAATTATCCAAAGTGTCTGTTAAATTGGACTAAATTAATTCTCAAAAAATATTCAAAGTAATAAAAAGTTATACTGGTTCGTGATCCGTGATTTAATAAAAATCACAAAGTTCCCACCGGATAGATATAAACAGTACAGCTGTGTAGTAGATCTGGGAGGCTACTTAGTGTTTAAATGTTCCAGACCTCCTCATCAACTGAACTGTAGGGCAATACTTGACCAGAATACACATAAATATTTGTAAACTTTCCCCTGTCTGTGTATGTAACGGGCTGGCCGTCACGGCAGGCTGTCCACTCGTAGCCAATAAACAGCAATCGCTGTCACTCCCTGCCGAGTTAAGCACGCGAACTGGACGTTGGTCGCGTGCCTCATTGATTGGATATTTCCATTTAGCCCCTTCTGTTTTCCTAATGCCGCCATTTTTTGGGGAGTGAAAAATGTCCCCCAATACGTTACTTAAATCCATTTGCACGCCGTTGCAATAACTCACTGTAACTCCCACAAACGTCATGGTTGTATAGACGAAAGCCCTATAAAATACTCGCAAATATCAAATGTGTTAGTCCCTGACTGGCAGTCAATGTGATGTTTATTCTGACCCTTAAGTTACCAAAATTTATCTCTGGAAAGAGAAAACTCGAAATGATTAAAGATGTAGACTTTTCTACATAACAGCAGCCAGATTCAGTAGTCCTATATACAGAGAACATACGTGAATCCAACGTGGTAATGATAATATGATGAAATGACGTTCATTTTCACAATCGATTCCAGATGGTATCGCTGCCCACGAAGATTTATAGACCCTTCGATAAGTCAGAAATTATAAAATTTCAAATTAATTAAAATATCATTCTCAGGTTTTAAAGAATCGTATTATTATTTTAGAAATGGTACTTTTAAACTGAATTTCTTGGTTATGCATCATTATATAGATTTTTTGTCGCTGGAATTTGAGTGGTATTTTAATGCGTGCATTGATGTTCATGGGCAGGAAAGTGGAAAAATATGTGGTCTGTAAGTCGTTATTTAAAAAAAAAGACTAAATAGATCTAACGTATTTTGTACACACCTGTTCACAGATCATACAAAATAAATCATGTTTTATTTTTGACGTGCCCTTTTCCTGACTGAGAGTAATTTTAGTTCAAATAATTTTCAAAGAAAAATGATGCATGCACACGTGTTTATCCTGTTAGTAAAATTGTCGTTAGATAACGGTCGAAGATTACAGAAAAATCTGTGGCTATATCAAAAAGCATGGAGTCATGCACGAACGAACACAATGGGGGTGACACGTCATCAAGATAGGACACAGGTTCCGGTGTCTGATTCTAGCACCTGTCTCCTCCTCACTGATGCGAAACCATCGCGATGGGAGGGCGGTGTGAAACGTCACTATAGATATGACGTCACGTCACATGTGTTCAGTTATGATTTGTTATATTGCTCGAGAATAATTACTTGTTACCGAACGTAATTGTCAGTGGCATTAATGTGGTGCGTTCGAGTGTTATTGTGTATCTTCACATCATTGTAGAACGCGCGCGGCATCCATTAATACCTAGATGGATGACAAATACAATCATGTGTTGCGAATCACACCTTGCCGTTCTCGTTCCCACTTTCCCTTACCACACCTTACTGCCCTCGCCCTATCTTTCCCTAAATCACAACTTGATGTCCTCGTTCCCATTTTCCCTCAACCACACCAATCCGTTCTGTAACTCCAATTATCTGTCTGTCGTGTATTTTCGACAGTATATAGCATACATTCATATTTAGAGCTTATTATCACAGCCCCTAAATCTACAGGTGTCCACTCCGGCCATTACACGACAACGGACAATGTCCGTGTTTGGTCATTAGGGAGTGGGCGTGGTTCACGTTTGACCGCGATCAGCTGTCTGCGGCTAGCCGCATGTCTAATACAGACTTTGTTAATACGTTTTATGGGCTAATGTCCGTATCATCGTGTCGATAATAACCGCTGTCGCCAGAATGGACAATGAGTGGACAATCGAGCCACTTCCAGCATCTGCAGCTCTAGCGGTGCTATCAGCACAGAGCGGACGGACTACTCTGGCGGTCTGCTGGTCCAAATCTCCTACTGAGACTAGCAACGTGGCATCACAGAAAAAATAAACAGTTGGAAACAATTTAGTTACCAATTTGAGACCAGTCCACCATTGGTCGTGCATGTTTTTGTATATGTTTAGGGGTCTTTACTTCAAGTTATATGGCCAAGTGTTCACAATAAATCCCGGATGTTTGGACATATCTTCATTAGGTTTAATGAGACCCGCATGGTATGTATTTTAACATGCTGTGGACAACGTTCTCCGGCCACTGACCGCCAAAAACAACGTCCGTTGAAGATGACCAATGTTTAGATAAGCGTATTCCAAAGCGGTGCTTCCCTTCTCGCCGACTGTGGTAATTTCATAATGTTTCCTCATGGTATTTTTAACAAATGAAGAATATCAGAGGTATTGGTAAAAAGACAATAATTGAAACATCTGCCATTTTTTATACGTATTCAAATGAAAAAATAGAAATAAACCTCGAAACATGTTATTCCACAAAGAACTATCATACGATTGTACATAGAAAAACAAATACAACAATTAGAGAGTCTACTTGATCGGTTTTTTTATCGTCATTGTAAACAAATGACAAAATATATCCAGAAGAGAAACAGTGAACTCTGAAGTACTTTTTATCATAGTATGTGTGAATAAAAACCCAAAGTCTGTGATCTGTGAAGGCAAAACAACAGAGTATTCCGTGGGAACCACAAGAATGATTTTCTATACTTAACGCATGGTCTGCTCAATATTAGACTTCCGTTTTACAAGACGGAAAACGTGTTTATGAACGGTAGCTTGTTTATACGGATAATCCATTGTTGTTTTTTAACTGAGAACTATTGCCCCACGGGTAAAAATACCAATGAACTGACCCATGTTGTGTTGATTCTGTTAAATAGTGTCCACGGCCTTGGGTTCTCCAATTAAAGTCAAAAAATGCTGTCAGCATTTATATCAAAATAACGCATGAGGACACTAACATACAAGAGATCGGGAGAGTTATGTGAGATGTTAGCTGTCACGAGTTGCCAAATCTACCTTTGGTCAGTCCTCGTTCTAATTAGTATTCGGGTATCCCGTAATATAAGGTTCCTTGAACAATTAACGAGTTTAAGAACGAAGTTACACGAATGAAGCCCAGAGGATTGCAACATCTCCCCCCGCCCACTAGTGTTGTCCGTGACTGCCCAGTGTTCTTTACTGACCGGAGGTGGTCTGACTCAGACACTGTTTACCTTCCAATCACGGTGTTGTCATTGTGTGGTGACTAGCCTATAATTATGGACATGGACACTGGTCATTAAAAAGGTCTAAAGTCATGTCCTCCATTATTGAAGTCATGAAGCACGTGAGAGGATGTCCGGCAAAGTCTCATTGGGACATTGGTATGACTGGCCAAGTTTCCGAAGAAAAATCTGAATTAAACTGACTCAGACTTTAGCCAGACATATTATACTCACCAGAAATTTTCATCAAAACATCAACATAAAATTAAGCGTGCTGTTATGCTGAGCACAGGGAATATCCATTTGAAAATAATGATGATAATTAAAAAAAAAAGTATGACAAAAGCTTTCCCGTCAATGTTCCCATTTTATTCGTGTTGTGTCAGTTACAAATAATTTAGATTTATAAATGAGAATCGTTCAGATGCTGGGTAGAGTTGGTCATCCGTCTGTCAGGGGTACTTGAGTTCCCGTGGTGTCTGGTCACCGTCGACCGGCTGGTCCGCGCGACGCGCGTGCTGTGCTCGCTATCACATTCAATCACGGACGGCGTGAGTCAATATGACGTCAATAAAAGACTGATCCATTGGACACAATTTGAATTTCCTAAAAACGATGAGTGCGTTCCCGGTATCATACCCGTGTCCCATTTTTTATCCGTCGACACATCTGTCTTGGCACACGACTTGTCCACGATGTGTATCCCCGGTCGAGTACGCCCAATGTCCGACAGATACAGAAACAGACGAGTTGACTCATCCCGCGCGTGCCAGTCCCGCACGTGATTCATCCGTACTTGTCTGTTACGTTATCACGTGATTATTTCACCGATAACAGATTTCAAAAGATATCGTGTTGCTAAGATGTAAGATGTCCTTTCAAAAAAAAAAGAAAATATTTTTTGTATGACTCGTCTCTTCAAGGTGATTTTTAACAAACAGCATTTGTTATTTCTCACCTGGGACGGCTTTTGAGAAAACTGATGTAACCAAGTTCAATCGTTATCAATAAGATACTTAAACTATTTCTAAATATTTTTATTGGCTGTTTTGTAACAGCTTGTCACTGAATAAATTGTATACAGAAAAAAAACTCTATCGAATAATATTTCAACGTTAACAACTTGTGGTTAACATCTGATATCATATGCAGGTTATAGATCAAACTCTGACCCATATAGCGACAACGATGATGATGATGGTGATGATGATGGTGATGATGATGATGATGATGATGATGATGATGATGATTATATAATTAAGCATAAACCCTCTGTATTTACACTAGCGTTGCATAGTCTCAAGATCAAGCTTACCAATCAAAATAGCTTTGTATACAAAGATATTAACGTATGGTGATTACACTTGCCCAAATGCATTCGGTGTTGAATTTACTTTTGTACTGTATGAAAGGGAGCCAATGTTTGTTTATTTCCCTTAATTTTCGTGTAAACGTGATTAAATATGAAAAAACATGGTGAGATATAAGTGTATACTAGGGGGGGGGGGGGGGGAGTATCCAAAAGCATATAAAACATCAACGGTTTAATTTGCTCATAGACTTTTTTGTTGCTGTTCACATTTTCAAATGGCGCCAAAATGGCACCACCTACTACTTCCGGTAAAATAAAGCTGTTCAGTTGAACTTGTCGATGTTTAAAGGATGTATGTATGAAAATCATTATTAATCATAAGAAAATGGACGCATTGTTACTGTAGCCTGTATCGAAGTGTATTAACATTGAAGTAACTACATATTTTACTTGATGCGGGTTATAATACTTAGTTGCATTCATGATAATATGATTTCTGCGACAAGACTATAGCATTTCTTTTGATGTACTTGAAAAAACTCAATAAGAAATGTTTTGTAAATAGAGCAAGCACGTCATCGGATCTGACACATCTCGAGCACCGACGAGACATGTCCTGCATTTGTAGCAGACCAGATGTAGACACTCACGCCACCGCCGCCATGTTTGTTTGTACACGTCATCAGCCCCCTGGCAGGTCGAATTAACTCGAGGACGGCGTTAATACCGTGTCAACTCTCCTCCAGGCTCCTTCTCCCGTGGCTACCGTCCCGCTGGGGAGAGACCAATGGTTTTAACAGTCCGACAGAACTCACCAGAGGTAGTCTTAAAAAAGTTGCCTGGCAAGTAATTTGTGTTGAGAAAATACATATTTTGCTTATAGGAGTTTTAACTATTATGGCTTCGAAAGCGATTCGGCACATGTCGGTACTCTACGGCGTCCTTCGTACTTACCCACACGAGCCGAGAATCTCGAGAATTAGCCCACGGCATGTTGTAGGTTAGAAGCATGGAGTCACTACGATTATCCTCCCAGTGTGAAAGGTTCTTGTCTCGCTGAGACAAGATAAACCCAGTCCCTCAATGTCAATCCCAGCTCAAACGAGAATCGCTCAGTGACTCGAATCGGTCAGTGTCAGTTTATAGATATGAAGAAAACTTTTAAACTAGATAAATATAGTGTAGTATATCTATATATATAGTGTAGATATATATATATATATATATATATATATATCAGGGCAGATCTATCCAAAATACAATATTGTAGTGTTAAAAACGGTTATATGGTCAAATAAACGGAGGAAAAAGGACAGAACATTATAGAACAGGAAACACGATGACGGAGAAGAGAACAGCTTAAACAAATTTTAACATGAAAGGGGTAAAATGGAACGACATACAACTCAATTTGGAAGCAGCACAAACGGATCATGGTACGGTGAGGAATAAGTGGATAGAACGGAAAAATGATAACGACGAAGATCAGAACAACGTGGAAAAAAGAGACGACGTAGATCAGAACAGCGTGGAAAAAACCGGTGACGACGTAGATCAGAACAGCGTGGAAAAAAGAGACGACGTAGATCAGAACAGCGTGGAAAAAACCGGTGACGACGTAGATCAGAACAGCGTGGAAAAACCGGTGACGACGTAGTTCAGAACAGCGTGGAAAAAAGAGACGACGAAGATCAGAACAGCATGGAAAATTGGTGACGGCGTAGATCAGAACAACGTGGAAAAAAGAGACGACGTAGATCAGAACAGCATGGAAAATTGGTGACGACGTAGATCAGGACAGCGTGGAAAAAACCGGTGACGACGTAGATCAGAACAGCGTGGAAAAAACCGGTGACGACGTAGATCAGAACAGCGTGGAAAAACCGGTGACGACGTAGTTCAGAACAGCGTGGAAAAAAGCTGTGACGACGTAGATCAGAACAGCGTGGAAAAAAACGGTGACGACGTAGATCAGAACAACGTGGAAAAAAACGGTGACGACGTAGATCAGAACAACGTGGAAAAAAGAGACGACGTAGATCAGAACAGCGTGGAAAAAACCGGTGACGACGTAGATCAGAACAGCGTGGAAAAAAGAGACGACATAAATCAGAACAACGTGGAAAAAAGAGACGACGTGGATCAGAACAACGTGGAGAAAAGAGACGACGTAGATCAGAACAACGTGGAAAAAAGAGACGACGTAGATCAGAACAGCATGGAAAATTGGTGACGACGTAGATCAGAACAGCGTGGAAAAAAGAGACGACGTAGATCAGAACAACGTGGAAAAAAGAGACGACGTAGATCAGAACAGCGTGGAAAAAAGAGACGACGTAGATCAGAACAACATGGAAAAAAGAGACGACGTAGATCAGAACAGCGTGGAAAAAAGAGACGACGTAGATCAGAACAACGTGGAAAAAAGAGACGACGTGGAAAAAAGAGACGACGTAGATCAGAACAACGTGGAAAAAAGAGACGACGTAGATCAGAACTGCGTGGAAAAAAGAGACGACGTAAATCAGAACAACGTGGAAAAAAGAGACGACGTAAATCAGAACAACGTGGAAAAAAGAGACGACGTAGATCAGAACAGCGTGGAATAAAGAGACGACGTAAATCAGAACAGCATGGAAAATTGGTGACGATGTAGATCAGAACAGCGTGGAAAAAAGCGGTGACGATGTAGATCAGAACAGCGTGGAAAAAAGCGGTGACGATGTAGATCAGAACAACGTGGAAAAAAGCTGTGACGACGTGGATCAGAACAGCGTGGAAAAAACCGGCGAAGACGTGGATCAGAACAGCGTGGAAAAAAGCGGTGACGATGTAGATCAGAACAGCGTGGAAAAAAGCGGTGACGATGTAGATCAGAACAGCGTGGAAAAAAGCGGTGACGATGTAGATCAGAACAGCGTGGAAAAAACCGGTGAAGACGTGGATCAGAACAGCGTGGAAAAAACCGGTGACAACTTAGATCAGAACAGCGTGGAAAAAAGCTGTGACGACGTGGATCAGAACAGCGTGGAAAAAAGCTGTGACGACGTGGATCAGAACAGCGTGGAAAAAAGCGGTGACGATGTAGATCAGAACAACGTGGAAAAAAGCGGTGACGATGTAGATCAGAACAGCGTGGAAAAAAGCGGTGACGATGTAGATCAGAACAGCGTGGAAAAAACCGGTGAAGACGTGGATCAGAACAGCGTGGAAAAAACCGGTGACGACGTAGATCAGAACAGCGTGGAAAAAACCGGTGACGACGTAGATCAGAACAGCGGTGGAAAAAAGCTGTGACGAACAGCGTGGATCAGAACAGCGTGGAAAAAAGCGGTGACGACGTGGATCAGAACAGCGTGGAAAAAAGCGGTGACGATGTAGATCAGAACAACGTGGAAAAAAGCGGTGACGATGTAGATCAGAACAGCGTGGAAAAAAGCGGTGACGATGTAGATCAGAACAGCGTGGAAAAAACCGGTGAAGACGTGGATCAGAACAGCGTGGAAAAAACCGGTGACGACGTAGATCAGAACAGCGTGGAAAAAAGCTGTGACGACGTGGATCAGAACAGCGTGGAAAAAAGCTGTGACGACGTGGATCAGAACAGCGTGGAAAAAAGCGGTGACGACGTAGTTCAGAACAGCGTAGAAAAAAGCTGTGATGACGTAGATCAGAAAAGCGTGGAAAAAAGCGGTGACGATGTAGATCAGAACAGCGTGGAAAAAACCGGTGAAGACGTGGATCAGAACAGCGTGGAAAAAACCGGTGACGACGTAGATCAGAACAGCGTGGAAAAAAGCTGTGACGACGTGGATCAGAACAGCGTGGAAAAAAGAGACGACGTAGATCAGAACAGCGTGGAAAAAAGAGACGACGTAGATCAGAACAGCGTGGAAAAAACCGGTGACGACGTAGATCAGAACAGCGTGGAAAAACCGACAAAGTGACGAAAATTGGAGACGTAGATCAGAACAGCGTGGAAAAAAGAGACGACGAAGATCAGAACAGCATGGAAAATAGGTGACGACTTAGATCAGGACAGCGTGGAAAAAACAGGTGACGACGAAGATCAGAACCGTCGAGTGGTGACGACGTAGATCAGAACAGCGTGGAAAAAACCGGTGACGACGTAGATCAGAACAGCGTGGAAAAAAACCGGTGACGACGTAGATCAGAACAGCGTGGAAAAACCGGTGACGACGTAGTTCAGAACAGCGTGGAAAAAAGCTGTGACGACGTAGATCAGAACAGCATGGAAAATTGGTGACGGCGTAGATCAGAACAACGTGGAAAAAAGAGACGACGTAGATCAGAACAGCATGGAAAATTGGTGACGACGTAGATCAGAACAGCGTGGAAAAAATCGGTGACGACGTAGATCAGAACAGCGTGGAAAAAACCGGTGACGACGTAGATCAGAACAGCGTGGAAAAACCGGTGACGACGTAGTTCAGAACAGCGTGGAAAAAAGCTGTGACGACGTAGATCAGAACAGCGTGGAAAAAAACGGTGACGACGTAGATCAGAACAACGTGGAAAAAAGAGACGACGTAGATCAGAACAGCGTGGAAAAAACCGGTGACGACGTAGATCAGAACAGCGTGGAAAAAAGAGACGACGTAAATCAGAACAACGTGGAAAAAAGAGACGACGTGGATCATAACAACGTGGAAAAAAGAGACGACGTAGATCAGAACAACGTGGAAAAAAGAGACGACGTAGATCAGAACAGCATGGAGAATTGGTGACGACGTAGATCAGAACAGCGTGGAAAAAAGAGACGACGTAGATCAGAATAACGTGGAAAAAAGAGACGACGTAGATCAGAACAGCGTGGAAAAAAGAGACGACGTAGATCAGAACAACGTGGAAAAAAGAGACGACGTAGATCAGAACAGCGTGGAAAAAAGAGACGACGTAGATCAGAACAACGTGGAAAAAAGAGACGACGTAGATCAGAACAGCGTGGAAAAAAGAGACGACGTAGATCAGAACAGCGTGGAAAAAAGAGACGACGTAAATCAGAACAGCATGGAAAATTGGTGACGATGTAGATCAGAACAGCGTGGAAAAAAGCGGTGACGATGTAGATCAGAACAGCGTGGAAAAAAGCGGTGACGATGTAGATCAGAACAACGTGGAAAAAAGCTGTGACCACGTGGATCAGAACAGCGTGGAAAAAACCGGTGAAGACGTGGATCAGAACAGCGTGGAAAAAAGCGGTGACGATGTAGATCAGAACAGCGTGGAAAAAAGCGGTGACGATGTAGATCAGAACAACGTGGAAAAAAGCGGTGACGATGTAGATCAGAACAGCGTGGAAAAAAGCGGTGACGATGTAGATCAGAACAGCGTGGAAAAAACCGGTGAAGACGTGGATCAGAACAGCGTGGAAAAAACCGGTGACGACATAGATCAGAACAGCGTAGAAAAAAGCTGTGATGACGTAGATCAGAAAAGCGTGGAAAAAAGCGGTGACGACGTAGATCAGAACAGCATAGAAAAAAGCTGTGATGACGTAGATCAGAACAGCGTGGAAAAAAGCGGTGACGACGTAGATCAGAATAGCGTGGAAAAAACCGGTGGCGACGTAGAGCAGAATAGCATGAAAAAAAACTAAGTGAGGACATAGAAGAGAACAGCGTAAAAACAAGACGAAGGAGTTGATCAGTAAAGCGTAAGACTTCGGAATGACGATGTTAAACACGACGATAGGAACAAAGAGGAACGGCGTAAGGTACGGCAAGGGAATAAAATAGAAAGCCCTAAGGCATTGTAATTGGAACACACATGGGTGGCATGAGGAGTGTGATTTTGAACACAAAGGGACGGAATTAAACACCGTGGTTTGAACAGGCTAGTAAGCCAGTGAGACATGGAGATATGTACAACGAAACGGCGCGAAACACGGTGATGGAAACATATGCGACTGGCGTGAAACGATGATTGGAACACGCAGGAACGACGTAAGACACAGCGATGGGAACACTCAGGAACGACGTAAGACACAGCGATGGGAACACGCAGGAACGACGTAAGACACAGCGATGGGAACACGCAGGAACGACGTAAGACACAGCGATGGGAACACGCAGGAACGACGTAAGACACAGCGATGGGAACACTCAGGAACGACGTAAGAGACAGTGATGGAAACACGCAGGAACGACGTAAGACACAGCGATGGGAACACGCAGGAACGACGTAAGACACAGCGATGGGAACGCGCAGGAATGATGTGTTGATTGGAACGCTTAAGAAGGCCATATGACACAGTGATTGGAATACATGAGAAGGATGTAAGACACATCGATTGGAAAAACGAACACACAGGAACGGCGTAAGACACAGTAATTGGGAAACAGAGGACGATGACAAGGATGAAACAGAAGGTGGTGGCGGTGGTGTTGATGGTGGTAGTGGTGGTGGTGTTGGTGGTGGTGATAGTGGTGATAGTGGTGGTGGTGTTGGTGACAAAGAATTCGGAGCAAGTTGACGAATGACATGCGGAAGATTGATATCGGCAATACAGACAATGATACAAACATATAGAATTGGACCGCAGAGCAGCGCTCCAATAGACGTCTCCACAGCTATACCTTTATAAAACCTATTGATTTTTTATTTCAAAGTTTTCTAATTTGCTATTATCTCTGAAGACAATGATGATTAAAAAGTTAAAATCGCATGAAGATAATAGCGTTGGGATTGGTTTTCAGACATTACCACCTCGTAAAAAGTAACGAGGTGTTGCCTGATGACGGGGGATGAGAGGGGAGTTTAGCTATCGACGGGATCATTCAATCAGCATACCGACTGCTTGTGCTTCCTATACCGCGGAAAGGCAGACGACAGACAAGTCCACGGCATCCCCCTTTCTGTAGCAATACTCGCACCTCATAACAAACTTGTATTGAATCAAGGCTTTGTTTGTACGCATTTACGTAAGATATATCGTGTGCAAAGTGAAATACGACACCAATAATATCCACTCAAAAATCATGGCATTAAGTTGAATACTTTTAAAAATGAGACTTTGCGAAAGGCGATTTCAAGCCTAAAAAGAGATTCGCTTTTCATTCCGGAAACTGCATTTGGTTTTGATCATTTGCATTTTTGCGATTTCTGAAGCCTATCAAATGAACCATACCAGAACAATAACTTAGCAGTGTGTCCACAGGACAGGCATTGTCGCATATATTTACGAACCCTCCCGTACTGCTACCCCTCCACGTGACCGCACCTCGACAGTTATGCGCTCGTTTGTATCACTTTGCGATACAATCTCGTCCACTGACGAAATCATTGCAAATTAATTTAGCCTACAGCCATTGCTCCATATTGTAGTGTTATATTGTTGTGAGATAACAGCTGTAACTTGCAATCATTACAGAACAAAGCTTCACTTCCTTACTTGTCGTGGTTTCAACCAGCTAATAAAAACGATCTATATATATAACTGCGGAGCTCGTCACAACAAGCTTGCTTCACACTCGGATCGGGGTCATTATCGAACGCATGTTTGTAAAGTTATATATAGATACAATATATGTGTCTTCACCACACGGGCTACTATGATAGAGTTTCTGTAGTAAATACTTGGTCTTTGTAGTTTAAATTGTAGATCAATAGTAAGAATCAGTTGGTTCCATCGTTGCCATGACAGAACGCCAGGTTAGCAGATATTGAAGTTCTGCATTGACTAGGCATGGATACAACTGGTGACACCTAGCAACGATAAACAGCCCAGAATGATAAACAACAATAGTAATCAATGTGTAAACAAGAAAAAGGTAGATGTGAGTTAATTCAATCAGAGACGTTATTTAGTAAGTCAACTTTTCAAGATAATTAAGTGTGCATCATCATCAAAAGTTATTAATATGGAAAATTTAGAGATATTTACTTTTTGATCTTAGTCTAACCCTAAGCAATGCTAAACAGGACGGCATTGACGGTACAAACTAAATGCTTATGTGAAATGTAAATTCGGTCAAAAACGGATGATACACTCCGAACGGCAACTAGAGAAAACCTGAACAATACTGTAAACATATGGACATCATTAATCTATTAACTTTGCCGGTGTGTTTTCATTTTCTGTGAACGCCACTAAATTCATAAGTGTACCGAACAAAATACGATGAGCAATATTTTCTTATAGAATCTAATTAGTATGTGTTTGTGTAGATGGCGAGGTGGGTAGTCACATTGAAAACATTTCCTTGTATTCGTTTGTACCAAGCATGCTGCAATGTAGCAGCCATGAAGTGATGTATGTTTTATATAACATAAGCGGCCTTCGACTGTGACATTCGGTCGCTTAGTTAACCCAGAAAAACCGTTACCATGTCAACCATGCAAAGTCTCCTCGCTCCACTTTGAAGGAGAGGTAAACATTTCCTACAGTACATGAAAGTTCAAACATATGTCAGGGAAATACTCAAGCTTAGACGATCACATCAGTGGCAGATGTTGACTGTCCCGCGCGAGGGGTGCGCGTGGGTCGAGTAAATATTTTTGGGAATTCTGTGCAAGGGAACGTACATTTGATGACTTTTTGATTGGGAGTTTGTCTATAGCATGAACATATGGGTCTGGCCAGGTTTCTGAAAAAGTAGTTTCAGTCTGTTTACATGGAAAATTAATTATACGTCTAAGTTCAAAAGCAAAAAATTGTACATCGTTTCATAAAGTTGGTTTTCTGACCAACAGAGAAACCCTGGTCAGTTTAGGCAGACCAGCTGTTACACTTCCCCTTCAAATCCCTCCGTACTAATGCTTCCTGATGCTTTTTTCTTCAACACTTCACAGTAAAAAAGCAAGCGTACATTTATGCTGATTTGGGTATTAACTTAAAACTTTCAAAACGTCAAAACGTATTAGCATTTCGTGTTGAAGGGTTTGTGCCCGGCTTTGGAGCATTGCTGAGGGAACGTCGGATCACAATGGGTCAAATGCTTTGACATGCGTCAAAACATAAGCAGGGATATGTTTCATATTTCTGTTCTATGCACATGTATGTGGTTAAGAAGATATTGTGTTCTTTGTACACATAGTGTGGGGTTCAAATGTCCGAGTTCAATGTGTACTTTTGTAGCAGTCACTGGCGCCATCTTGGCGTTTCTACAACAATTTTTACCTCTCAATTAATTCTACTTCTATGATTATTATGAAATAAAACAGAACTATATCTACATGTCATTTTAAACTAAAATGTAAATTTAATGGAATGTGAATCAGAATATATCACAACTTCCGTCTTTATAAAATGTTTAACAGGAAATACTTTTGTCTAAATTTTCACCAGCCATTGCACATGTACTTGCACTTCCATGGCAAAACCAAATCGTTTCCATAACAACAATCACAAGTTAGGCCCTAGAACAGTCATAACTATTATAAAAGATATTATATCTCATCGCTCCCTAATAACCGAAATGTGACTACAACGTAAAACGTTATAAGCACAAAATAACCAAGACTGGTGTACAAAAGATTTCTCCGACGAGTACAATACACATGTATATATAGATTATATTACGCAGAGCTGGCGAGGTGAATAGCTAGTATAGATATTGCTCTGTCCGGGTAGGTATACGCCTGTCATATATTACAGCTATCCCGGAAGTGAATTGATCGAGTCCTAGTCGAAAAGGTCATAAGGCATAGAACAGGGACAACACGCTGTTTTCAACTCACTACTGCGAAAGCATCAGAAGTGCCGTCTGTTATTATTATATATGTATCTTAGAAAACAATGGCGAATACATCGAGACAACATTTCGGTATGTGGTAAAATTAGTCAGGATTGCTAAAATGAGGGAACAGGGGAAGGGGGACACACTACCTCATTAAAAACACATCCAGACTGCCTTATCTAGTGTTTATCTAGGTTTTTATCTAAACCGATCAGGGGAATTAGCCGGCGCGCGTCGGGAAGACAGATGAGAAGGAATATTGTAGGAAATAGTGTTCTAGTCAGCTTCAGCAGTGCTGGTTAACGAACCGAAACGAAACACATCTCTGGGCCAATTCTCAATTAAACATATTGAGCCCCAACCAAATAATTCACAATTAGTGAAATTTTAACTGCGCGCTTCATACATGTTGTGATAACACGCGTTCTATAGTACCAAGGTACAATGCCAATTTTATTTCAATTTTTAAATGTGAGTTGTTTTGTTAGAGTGGAAAACTGGTACTGAATTTTATTTCAATTTTTAAATGTGGGTTGTTTTGTTAGAGTGGAAAACTGGTACTGTCAATCGGTTCACCGAGAGTTTGGAAAACAGAAGATTGATGTTGCTTGTCTAAACCGGACTAATTCTTTAGCGCGATGATGTAAACACGGGAGAAAGATTTATGATATTATCAGGGATGTGCATATTGAACACAATGATAGGTATTTGGACGTTAGCGCGTGCCGATGAAATCAGAAAGTTAACCCCGAGCTCCTGCTAGAGTGTCAACGTGCAAGAAAATGCAACTGGGCAGTCAAAGTTACGCGATGAAGAACCGGTTTGGAACATATCAACACAAAGCTGTCAGGAATGTGTCAACGAATAGAAAACAGATTGTGTTATATGGCTTCTTTAATCATATCAGGAGTCGTTACGC